AGGGTGTCTCGAAGACGACACCGCGTCCACGTCAGGTGGTATGCTAGTGCAGGCGTGCATGCGTGCGTGCGTGCGTGCAATCGTTGCGTGCGGGCGGGCTAACGTTGTTTAGCAACGCTTAATGGAAAAAAACGTTTGTGGTTGTGCTGTGCGCGGTCAGATTTTCCACTTACAGGTCCTGATGCGGGGCGCAGGGTGGCTGCAAGGATAAAGACTTTCGATCCCATTTCGGTGTCTAATCTACGCGACTACGCCCCATCCCCCATCTGCAGCAAAGGATGGAGTACGGAGAACATTTTCACAACCTGTGAAGTTATCCTTAAACAGTAAGTAGGCATGTGCTTATGTTAAACCTTGTTCATGTCTTTGATGCGACAGAATAGTAACTCTGTGTCACTTCAAGGGAATATTACGGGATTCGCAAAATAAGTTCATCTCCAATCAGCCTATTGAGTCAAATGACTAGTTTTAAAGGTAACAGGGGTTGAGGTCAGCTAAGTAAAGATATAAGTCCGCGATCTGAACAGAGTTTAATAACGCCCAACTGTCATGGACAATATACAAACTCCGCCAGTGGAGTGATAGCTATTAACTAGGATATTGCGTAAAACGCTTGTGGTAGCCAATACTCTGTCAGTAATTAATATTATTTTGCCAAAAAGAACCCTTAACGAATTGGAGGGTTGAATTAGATTGCGCACTCATGTTTTCGTTTCAAAATAACCACTTTTACTCATTTCTGTCAAGATGCAGTCGCAAAATAAGATATGGATTAGGAAGCTGTTTTTAAATTAACAACCACATATAGTTTACTAAGCTAAATTGAACGAACATTCCTAAATATTTTAAACGTCTAATAGAATGCGGAAAACCTGAAGAAATAGAAGCAAAGAATGCAATCGAACTGCTGTCCTCTCAAAAATGCACTGGATGTTTTAACTTCTTAATATTATAGCCACGTCTGTCAATGGATAACCTATACCGTAATTATAAGCTGACTTTTAATCGGGGCTCGCAATTTATTGCCTACACGCCAGTCTGTGAATTTTTTAAAACTGCGCGAATTTATTAATTTCGCGTTTGAGCTCAACTAGAAAGCACTCCTGTTTAGCTTTATTAACTTTATTTAACTTTTATTAAAAAGTTCCTGTAGAATGTGCCTTTGTAAACAGTTTAAATTTGCAAAACTCGTCTGCTTTCGAGCCACTGCTACCAGCTTAAGTTTTTATCTGCCCGATTTTATATTTGAACTAAGGTTTACCGAATAGAAGAAAAGATTATCAGTTTTTTGTACCGCACCCTAGATGTCCTTGAACCAGGCGTCTTTTCAGAACCGAGTGTAACAACACTGTTGCCTTCCACCTGGTAAACCTATTTTGCGTCTACCCAGTTAGCCCCTTCATAGTACAGTTTTTGAATTTTTAGTTTTATTCTATTCTATTCTCAACTCTCAACTTAGGTAAATATGAACTGCTATCATCCCACCAACTTGGTCTATCTTTAACTCAAATAACAAAGTACCTCCGATATAATCTTCCTTCTACTTAGTGGCTGGCATGCCAAAAATAATTCTCCGTGAAGGCCATGAGTTTAACTCGGGTGTAATGTACAGGTTTATCTCGTGCGTTGAAATGAAGAGAACTTCCAGCATTAAATAGGAGTTCCCATTCGCGTAGTTTACTCCCAGTGGTAAGAAAACATGTTTATGGGGCTCTTTATTTGCTGAGGATACCCATTAATTCCGTCGTTCAGCAAAAAGCACTTTATGTGCTGGTTCCTATCATCCAGAGTACCAAAAAGGCCATGCAAAATAAATGTCAAATGATCTGCACGACAGATATATTCGGCCTTTTCAGTCATAACTGGCCTTCGAGAAATAGCGCCTATTTAAGACTGGCAACTTTTAAGAAACTCCGAGTTCAGTCTCCGGCAGTATTTTAATCTCCATAATTAAGTAAGCGTCGTTGGTCTAGAAGAGAAGAAGTGCGGAACAACGATGGTGCCTTCCCCCATATATGAACTTAACTAGTAGGATATAATCCAAAATTTTCCTATGGGTTTGCTCTGGTAATTGGTGCGGTCTAGTTTAGGACTTTCGCTAGGGTAAGGCGACATGTCTCTTATACGAGGCATGGAAATTTCTGGTACAAATATTTCCTTACACTTGTCCACTATCACAGAGAGAAAGCCCAAACGAATGAGTATCACACGGATAGTGATGACAATATACTGCCATCGGTCTGCAAGTCATTATTTACCTAGTTATGAGCACCAATAACCGAACGTTCTTTGAAGTGGGAAATAATTTCAATTTGTTTATCAGAACGTGCATTGGTTACGTTTAGAGGTAGTGCCACTCCTGAACATGTCGTAAAACCAGGTCTGTTCATGAATAGATAATAGCATCAAACTGAAGGACTTATTTAGCAACCACTTCTGCAGCCGAGGGAGACAAATGTTGCTTTTTCATAATCCATACGAAGCTACCCATTACCTAGAAAATTAACTAATATTCAAATATGAATGACAAAAGAGACCTTGATCGTAGTATGACAATTTTAGAAGACGCGCTAGATGACTTAACCAACATTCTGAGTGGGATTGCTAATGCATATACCCATGTCTTCTCCTGAGGTGACTAACTACTGTATTTCTTGTACACCCAAACAACGAAAAACATTGTGCGACAGTTCTCGACGACGTCCACTTTGTGTCCACATCAGGGTGGACGCAGGGACAGTAAATTGCATGTACATTATTTTCTACCGCACTCTTTCTGCCTTCACCTACGTGGCCCGGTCTTCATAACTTAATCAGTTAGACCGGTGGTACGGAGTTAGGTGCAGGTATTTGGCCTGAACCCGCGCATAAACGCGCCACCACCACCACCGCCCAATTTATGGCATTCGCTATGCGTCACTAATAAATGTTATTGTGCCCCGCGTCAGGAGCTCTGAGTGGACAATCTGACCGCGGTGTTGATTCAGTACACATACCGACAAAAGTAGTTTAAGCAATGCATCTCATATACCTCTAGACCCAGCATTTTGTTCCACGAAAACTGTGGGTATATGGGGGTTTTAAGGCTGGCGAAATAGGATAGGCAGTGAAGGAAATTTGTAGAGGTAAGTGGAAAGTGGAAAAATGTAGTTGAATTTGTTTCCCGCAGCCGCTGGAAGTAAGTTGTTCCGCATATAATTTTAAGGTGTGCGCGGCGCTTGGCGGCGCAGACTATACTAATATAACTCCAGAACGCTGAGTTAGACCTGATATAAGTTGAAGTAGGCGACCTCTTAAGCACCATTTCTTTTTTTGAGGGATTTCACGAAACCTGCATTTTGATAATCGGGGTTTTCCACAATACTTTAAAAGATAGTAAAGATAAGGAAAATTTACAGATATGAATAAGCATCATTTCTAAATACATTATAATAAAATTGCATATGGCAGTTATTGAAGCATATTCCACTGCCTATCCTAAGTCTCCACTCCCGAACCCCCTATAACCACCGCTTCCGTGGGACAAAATGATGGGACTATGGGTATGTGAGG